CTATTTGTATTTGTCTATAGATATATTTTGCGGATGTTCTTGTAATGTAATGTAAGCAACTAGGTTACACATAGAAAAGGAATTGATTCAGTTGTAATATCTACAGGGCGAAATACACCTAAGTGCTGGTAAGTTCTTTAGACAAAAATATCGGTGTTCTTTGACTTAAATAATCCCTAGTGAACGAGATTGCTCATAGGTAGGCGTGCTCTGTCGTCGGCCACATCATCGCTTACCATCAGGCGAGATGGAGCCCAAACGTCAACCTATCTAATATAAAAAATAATTACCTACATATTGTTTTTTATATATTTTATCTAATAGAGGGCAAACATTGCAGATGGAACTCCTGATGGTACCTATGTATATTAGAGATATCAGCAGTAGGTAGGTGCTAGAGAAGTTACAAATGTAACTGCCTAGTCCCCAAGCAGTCACCTATTTTAGACCTTATTTCCAATGTTTAGAGACCACTTTTGTAAGAACAAATGTTGCGGATTTTTCATAATCGGAGATTAAGTGTTCCTGCTCTCTAAAATCGTCCTGAGTCACAAATGATTTGTTAAAGTAAATATCTACAAAGCTTTTTTTCTAGTAATACACTGACCCAAACCTAATTAAGAAAAGAACACATATTTGAAATGATAACTTCTATTTATTTATTTTTATAAGTATCATCATAAACATCTGAATTCAGGTAGCCTCGTCAATATTTGGCAGACATCTTTAGCTTCCATTCAAAGCACTTGTCAACAAGGTTGATCGTTCATAATACTTTTATTTGAGGCTACTGTTATTTTTGAGTTTTAAATGAGGTTATTCAAATACTACTATAAGTTGTCTGTTTTAAAACAAGTTAATTCAATTGTTAACAGTTGTTATCTTATCTTTTATAATGAAAGTACAGGTAGCTGTTTACATGTACGTGTCATATGATTAATCAATTTTATAGTGAACATGAGATGAAGGGCTTTAGAATCGTAAATAAATCAACCTGACATGGCTAAACACGGCGGCCATTTTATCAGAGCGTTGTGTGCTTTCAGATTAGTTCTGACAAATGTATGACAATGACATAGTCGAATGAATTGTAATGGCAATGAAACTTTGCTCAAGGACTGTATTTCGAAATGGGGAATACTAATATACCTAATATCTACTTTACTGAAGTATTCTACAATTCATTGAACTACGTTTGTCATTTCAGGGACCAAGGTATGCGTTCCACAGAACTTTATCCAATATTTTTACTTTCAAATGGTTAGCTTACGAGCTCATAGTATGTTAATGCTATGAGTATTTGCTTCAATTTTGGTTTAAGAAAGTTATACTAGACTGTACTGTAATGTAATCAATGAAAGGCTAGAATATCAGAATACTTATATTGTATTCAACAGGTCAGCGTTTGACTACTATCTTGCTTAGAACAGTAGGTAAGTGATGATGTAGCCGACAATGAAGCACTACTGGTTTATCACTAATATCTTATTCATTCGAGATTTGAAGACACCAGGGTTGTGCAGGAAGAAAATTACATCAAGTTAAAAAATGAAGCATTTTTTATGTGTTTTTCGTGATGACTTAGGTCATACCCTTCCAAGTGAAATAGGGATATAATCAGATGTATTTAGGTACCTACAATGTTATTTAGAACCCCATAGAATCATTAACAAAAATAATAAGTCAGGATGTATAATTTTCCCCTGTACCTGTAAAAACCAGTAATCCTGTAAAACGAGGGGCAGTACTAAGAGACAAAATGTACAATGAATTTATCTAAAGACCAACATTAGTGGTTCATTGTTGCAAAATTAATGGTTCACTATAAGACTGTGATGTACCACTTGCAATGAATGTAGGATAGTTATGTGAAAATAATATGCTAATAGTGACATTGCGCATAGCCCAAGGTCGGGCCCGTATACAGCCAGCGCATAAAAAATACTAAATGAGTTATTTGCGCATTGCTTTTAATACACGTATGATTTATGTAAACCCTACGCTTTTGTTGATACAATTTTCCTTAAAAAAGAAGGAAAATCGAATGAAATTAGTCTTAGTACCTGGTACGTGCTCGCTACTGGGCACAGATTATAACTAGTGATATTAATAGTACCTAATATCATAGTATCACAAAAATATGTTTTACAAAGATGAGCAATACTAATTAGATCGAAAGAGAATGTAATGAAGACTTCAAACCTTCGCATTATGATTTATTTTTTTTATTTTAGTAAGTTATTAGTATAATGCGTCAAGCGTGTCTTTGCATTGTTCTTACATATGCGTACAGTATTGAAATATGTATCAGAGACATTGTAGAACATACTTTTTTAAAAGAGTAACGAATGGAGTTTCTTGCTCGTTCTTCTCCATTCGAATCTACGTTTTGGAATGAGCACCTAGCTTCACCTAATTTCACTGACGGACTGACTGACAGACTATAATTTATTTTGTATTTGTTGACGTTTCAAAAGTACCAAACTATGGTTTAATTGAAATAAATGCTTTGACTTTGACTTTGACTTTGAAAATGTTAACGTAAATTATTAAGGCATATTTTTAACTAGTTTGGTAGCTAAATAATTAGGAAATTATTTGGTTACAATGTTACAAATAAGTATTATAAATTTACGCAAAGAAAATGCGCCACGGATTCGTTACAACAGTTTAATTTCGGAGCAGTAGCTGTAGTCTTTCGCAACTAATTTCGGCAATCAGTCTCATTGCATCGGATATCATGGCTCTTTTGTTTTCGAATGACTTCAGCACTTGTATGAGACAAATTAATTAATTGTCATGTTTTGTACGGGCGCCGTAAGAACGTATGAAGAATTAGATCAATGAATGCTGGAAAATTATGATTAGAAACGCCTCTCTGACGTCGTTACATTGTATGAAACGACACCTTCGGAACATTATTTTGTAGTGAAGTAACAATTGTCTGAACTAGGAAGTAAGGCCTCGTGATACGCTTGAAGTATTTTATTGATAGTACACGATAGCCATTCAGTAAATAGGTCTTATAAGTTATTTTGATTTCGCTGCTGTAGGTAGTTCTAAAATCCTTGTACCAATTTTGGATTTTTGTTGTTTTAAGTTTTAAAAAGACAGAAGCTTTGTAAAATAGAAATTTTATGTATTTTAAAATTCACTATTTTTTACATAATATATAGGCACCTATATTAAAATTTACTGATTTTTTAATCTGTTTCGATATATAAATATATTTTTGAACGTCAATATTAACAAAACATAAAATGTACGTAACAGACTTTTACGCAATAATAGATTCTTAGTTACTGTTGTACGGTGTAGAAATTGCTTCCATGCATGTATTTCTTTATATAAAATGTTAATTGAAAATGCATAGCCTGCACCTGTGCAGTTTAAATGACTATTAACTTGTCGTGAATGAGATATGCACATAAAATTAAGATCCTAATGATAATACTTAATTGTATCAGAATATAGGATTTTTGATCAATAAAATTTATAATTGATGATTTGCACTCGTAATAACGTAGACACGTAGTTAAAGTTAACATAAATAATACTTTATTTTATAAAGGATATAATAAAATAATAATCTGTACAATAACTGACCGCATTTGCATATTAGGTAATTGGGTAGAACAATTATTTTTCCAAGAATTAAATATCATATAATATTTTGCATAAATTGCTTCTACTAATAGCTTGTAAGTGTAAAATTAAGTGATGCATGTATTCTCAATTATAGCATTAACGATATACCTAGGTACCTACATTGATGAAAACTGCATTAGATATACTAGTAGGTACCTAAGGAAATACTAGTTATTAAAATTAAATGATGCATACAAGCTGACAATGGTTTTAAAAATAGTCATTTTAGATTGCTTAAACTTTTTGTTACCTGAAAAATATTTATGTAACAATTTTACAAAACTTATTGATTGGATTTTATTTCAACAAAACTAACTCACAATTCTGAAATTGAATTAATTATGGCCATTCACAATGAGCATTTAGGTAAATGCCTAACTAAAGAGTAAAGATTACATAAAAAAATAAAAAGGAAACAATATCTTCATGTTCCTTGCTTGCTGTAAATGAACTTTTTGTAAAATAATGTCAAAAACATTAACAATAAGTGTCTGGTGGTGAGTGACAGGCGTTGTAAGAGATTTGCGAACTGAGCTGACTGGTGGACATCGTCATAAAGGCTATTGTGGAGACAGGATGATGATGTCTTCGACAGTCCATGCGGACGCCATGACGTTGATTTTAAAGATATCTGTCAAACTCTTTGAATGCTACCTCGAATATCTGCACAGACATCGCCATTGTTATCTGATCATTTCTGAGACACCCTGTAGCATTATTTTCTTATGTTCAATTTATTTTGTTAATTTTGTCCGTTACGTTTGAATTTGTTGTCGTTTTTATTTCTTGTCGGGGACGTTGATCTGATGACTGATATTTTTTTAAATAAATAATTGTGTAGGACTTTTTTAATTATTTGACTAATAGATGTTTTATTTTATGGAGATTTTATTGAATTGTTTAATTTTCAAAATTTTCTGTATTTAGATAGGTAAATAAAATTTCGGACATTATAATTGCAAAAAATAATAAAAGTAGTAAAATAACTCACCCATTTTTATTTAATTCACTTTTTCACTTTTAAAAGTCCGATTTGAGATCACGTCAAGAGATAAACCGCGGTCACCTATCACCAACGTTTCATCGTCACCCTGCGTGTTACACTAGAGGGAGGATGCGCGTGGGCAGGCCGGGTATGTCGGCGCACGCGTCGTTCGCCGTCACCTCAAGGATGTCGCGTGCTGCCTGCTGAGGCTTCTGTGCGAATGTGGACTCGCTACCGGCTGTCGCCTAAGATTCCTTCCACTTGAGATAACGATAAGGCCGATGCTCGATCGCTCATCTTGTGTTATCTAGACGGCCGATGACGGTGACCACGATCGATCTATCCGCACATCACCACATTGTTGTCATGCTCGATGTGTTTTTTTAAACTATTATGTAACACGTAACCGTGATTTTACTTATTTTTCTCCTAAATTTAAGATTTAAGGCTCGGCAGATAATAAATGATACCTACTTAGGTAAATTTGGATGGAGTCTCGATATGAAATCAAAGTAGCTTACCATACCTATTTTTAGTATATTAATGTAGCACATAGATATATTTAAGTTTACTTCAAGTAATATATCTAAGTTATCAAAACAAACTTATTATTAAATACGCTATCGTTTCAATAGACATCGATATTCCCCGGTTTGTGAGCTTACTCAAGTTGATTATTATTTTTAAGAGAACAGTCGTAGAACTGAGTCCCACAGTCCCACAGGGACAAGGCAAGCCACCGCGTAATGAGCTGTCTTGCAAGAAGATTACTTTGATTTGTTTTGATTATTTATAACAATTTTTAATAAGATGGTACCAGTCGCAGATTTATTAAAAACATAATTTTGTCAAATTACTTGGCAACATGACCCAGATTTTCGCGTTTGATAAGTAGGTACCTAGGGTAGGCAAGTAAGTAAATATTCCGAAACTACTCTCGCCTGCAAACCTTATCCTGGAGAAGAGATAATTTCGGCTCCATAAATTTTTGGGCCATTTCTGAATTTTCGGTATAACTTCTTCATCTCGGATCCTACAACTTTTACGCCATATTAACTATTGCTCCAAATAGTTAGTTCTAATGATACGTACCATTATTTTTCTTTGGCCAGCACTTCCAGAGTAGGCCCAATAAAAATGATCATCTTTATCTTGATCGGTGTAGTCCTTCCAGATTTACTTATGCGCTTGTATATTGCGTAGGTATCTTTATAAAGGTGTTGCGAGTGTCCAGAGGCGGCGCTGAACGCATACCAACGGGTGATCTGCTCGTGATAGGTTCCAAAAAATGAGAGATTAATATGATGCCCATGATAGCATGAATCCCTATTTCGACCACTAGTCCAAGGTGGGCAGTGTTTTTCGAAAAGATCTTGGAGTAAAGCTTATTATTGGTTTCTCCTTAGATGTATTTAAATTTAAACAAACCAACGGATGACGTCACAAAATCCTACACCGCACATGTGAAGGTTACATGCGAATTAACAGGAATTGATAATCTTAAAGAACAACTGTGGGCAGAAAGCCCGCCAGGCAGGAACACCTCGCCTGGTCGGACGATCCTCCTTTTCCGATCATAGGGTCTAAACAGTTTGAATTCAGTTGTATCAACTGCATCCGAACTGCAATTTGCAGTTGGATTGCACTCACTGTTCCCAAAAATAAACCTAAAATTGATACAGAAATCCTCAATAAGTATGCTTGGATCATCAACACTTATTTCGACTATCACCAAGGTTCAATTTGGCATTACCTATACATCATATAGATGCCTAATTGTTATGTGTGAACGTATGTACGTGTAATTGGTGATTCTCAGTAAGTAAGTACTGTTTGTGCTGCGATAGGACGCAGGGTCGCACATCGCCTTCGGTCAAGTTCGACTACATACCATGTATGGTACGTATATACACAATTACAAGTACGTATATACACGTTATATACGTATTTGTATCATTAAGTTACGATTGTTATCATTTCTACTTAGTTTTTTGTGAGGGGGGACAATCGTCCAATGACTTATCCCGCATAGGGTAAGACCAAAGAGAGTCAGTGTCAGACCACCTACTAAAAGTCACCCCGTTCCTTCTTCTGCTTCGAGCCAGAGCCCCGACAACCCGTTAGGTTTTCCGCAGTTCCAGATTTCTACTCGGCTACAATAAAAGATGTGTGGTTTGTAAAAATGACAGAGTTACCATCATGATCATCAACAGCCTATAAGTACCCACTGCCAAGCAAAGGCCTTTACTCACACGGAGAAGGTATGGTAAAAATTTTAACAATTTATGGCTTATTATTATCATTTCATAATAGGTAGGTGTAAGCGGGTGACAATCCCAATCCCAGGTATATAATTACTAAGAACTTCATATAGGCAAATAATGATTTACTGAGGAATCAAACTATAACAGTTTCACTAACAACTTTACCAATAACCTACAGTGAAACTATTTTCCTTGTCCTATGTACTTCCTAGCATATATTTTGTAAACAGATTTTGGTAGTCGCTACACATCGGCCGTACGCTCGCGACCTTAGAGGTCACATTCGACATTTCAGTGAATCCAGTGATGTACCTATGTCCGATGTAAAAAAAAAAAACGATTAATCGTTTTAAGGCGATTTAAAAGGTTTCTGATACTAATGTAGACAGAGATAACAATAGTCCTAAAAAAACATTAACCTTCCTACAGTTTAGTAAAATAGGACAGTTCCACGACCATATTCCTCTGTTCGACGGTGGATACCTAGTAGTTGAACATGAAGATGACGACTGTCCTTGCAAAGGTTATGTGGAAAAAAAAGCTTAATGCTCAAATGCCTATCCCGAAAGGCCAGCAACGCACACTTCTAGTGATAAGTGTGTCATCAGGTCTGCTCGTTTACCAACCTATTCAATAAACAAAACAAAAAGGTACACATTGTGGTCAATTGGGATGATGACAGGGTATGGAAATTAAAAATCTAATTAGTCCGTAAGATGTAATGAAAAAATATTAGACACGTATTTTTTTATTTTGTCGTATAATAAAACAATATTTAGATAAAACGATTCAAAGTTTAGAAGTGGGGGCTAAAACGTCATTTCTACGTATAAAATGTAGGTACATAGAACTGACGTCACGCGACATTTCATATCAATATATCGTCGAAAGTATTCGTTTCTGTAAGAAAATAAAAAATACGTGGCTAATGATTTAAAATAATCTACCAGACGGACATTAAAATAAAAATTAAGCACCTAGCCTATTATGATATCTGTACCAATGCAACGCCTAACTAAAGGAGGCAGTAATCGAGTCTATTAAGAGAAACCCATTATAATTAACATTTTACAAGTAGTCCTATTAATGTGAAATTTTTTATGTTTATTTGCCTGTTACTCTTTCACGTCAAAACTACTTAAGGAATCGGGATGAACTTTAGAACAGGGGTGGTAGTGGTGGTCTGGAACAACAACAATAGGCCATTCATCCCAGGGACCGCGTGCAAACCCGCTGGCAGAAGCTAGTATTCAATAATCGATGCTCAATTTATGTGTAAAGATAATTATTAGGTAATAAACAAGCCACGTAACAGCCTGTAGGGTCGGTAGCGATCGCAGATTGAATACTAACACCCGATATAAGGAAACAAATTATATTTATGCCAAAACCTCGACCTCCTTGCGTAGCGTTACGAAACACATTTTTTTCCACCTTACATTATGTCGAACGAAAATAATGATGTTGTGTAACATTATTGTAATATTACGCTTGTAGTTAAATCCAAAAGATTAGCAGAGGTCCTTTTCTATTCCTATAAGGTAAACACCTAACTAGTAATGTTTTCAGTGACCTGTCTCATTATGCTGCTATCAACTTTTTATTCTTTTTTATTACATCTTGTATGGAAAATGGTCTAATTAATTTGTCCGTCATATATTGCGTTGTGAAACAAGCAGAAATCGGAAATAAGAGCGATGTTATTCCAAAGATTTTCAGAATAATTTTAAAATATAAATAAATCATTTGAATATTTTGTACCTTTAGCTATCCGTCTATTGCCTGATGGTGGGTTATCATTGCCCTATCTATGGATACCCGCAACGAGGAGCTACAAGTTTTTGTCATTTGGTTCCCTATAACGACACTCTCAAGTTGAAACACAACACAAGCGTTGTTTTACGCCGGTTTTCTGTGAGGCCGTGATATTATTAGTGGTAGATAGTATTTTGGTCGGTGCAATAGCTGGGTAACCGGCTGCCGCGCTACGTGTCTTGATTCCTCTTTGTGTGATCTACAAATTGTTGTTTCGGGTCTGGGTGTCATGTGTATGTAAACTTGTATGTTTGTAGACGCACCCACCACAAAGCAGAAAAACCTAGTGTGGGGCAACGTTAAAAAAAAGAGTAGCTGGCTGTTCGAGCCGAAGCACGACTTCCCCACGTAAACTATACTAACTACAGATTTCTAGGTTTAATAATAGTTCTAAAATAAATCAATTAAGTATCATATAAAGACATATTTAGAATTGTTGCGGTAATTAGTTTAACAAGTGACTTATTGCGTTTCCTGATAAATTAATGTTGTTCCTATTTGTTTTTTTTATCGACAGTCACTGATGGCAGTTCATGGCATCGTTTGAGTGTATAATAAAATGCACTATTACATAGAGATGTACGAAACGAAAGTTTTATTTATATGTATTTTTTTAAGGGAGGAAAATCATCGAATGACTGCTCCCGCCTGGGTGAGGCGGGAGGGAGTGTCAAACTCTTACTGACTAAAAACAACCCCGTTCCTTCTCCTGCACGTCGAGCCGGAGCCCCGGTTACCCGTTAGGTTCTCCGCGACTATTTATATGTATAGAAGTTAAAGAACCACTAGCACTAACTCGGCCCAGTTTAAACACAAAAATTAAATTACAATCACGCGGACTTTTGGAGTATACTCATTGAAAAAATGGTTTGTAAAAGAAATAAGAAAAACTGTATAGACAAACACACACACGTTTTTATATCAATAGAATTATATCGGAAGTGCACTAGAATCTTGATGCAATTCTGACCAAACATGGAAGACGGAAGGAAAAGATTATCTCAGTGTGAAATCAATCAATCATTATACATAATACACATACTTATGACCACTATAAATTGTTACTGAAGTATTCTTATACGACCGTGTGTGAATTCCAATAATAAACAGCACGTTTCTTAGTTTATTTGTCGATATTAAAAGAAAGAAAGGA